AGCAATGCTTTTAAATCCAAGAGAGAGTTTCGTGTCGTAAAGTCATGAATAGGCTGTCAACAGATTAAGTCTACAACCTACAATGGGAAGGAAGCATACTATCCAAATGCTGACGTTATTATGCTTCAGCATTAATGTTTACTGATTTATACAGCAATTTCTCGATGATCAGCCTCTGCATTGCTGCAAGATGACTATACTATTTTGCAGTAGCTGTAGCAATATTTTATCATTTCTCTTGATACTATGAAATTCTAAAATTTCTGCATATGAAAATCAGATTTAAGTGTTGAATTAGAGAACAGAGTGGCAAAATTATTTGGCACCTACATTAGGTCCTACTTGAAAGTTGTTGAGATAATGACTATCATGATGATACACACTGAGTAAATGACTTTCAGAGTCATGACTGGTTAACGTGTGAAACATGATTATGGAATTTGAATGCACCGATTAAAGTTTTATTACAACAAGGAATGTTATAATATGTAAACAACTTGTTATTATAGTTGAGTTGCTAGAAATGTTCTAGTTGTGTTAGGAGCATAACATGAACTTACAAAACCAAATTTAATCACCGTGAGAAACATGCACCATCCGCACTGATTATTAGCATCCATGTAGATTTTTGAGTCTCGTTCGTATATAATTAATTTGGTTTAGAAACAAAGAAATTTATCATTCATTCACATTGGTTTGTTGACAAAGGCCAGTCTCTTAAGAACGCATCTCTGTCACTGAAAACACTGGAAAAAAAAAGTAGTCTGTTAATATATGATCTGGCTTACACAAAGGGATAAATCCACACTCTCCAATAATTTCTTGTTGGTCATTCAAACCACAAACATTTTTGCCAGAATGCAACAAGATTATGCTAAAGGCATATTTCAGTGAGTTTCTGAGAAAAATGCTGCATTTGCTAACATTAGAGTTGGGTGGCGAAAGCAGCTCTTAAAGGATTACATCACATAAATCCCTTCAAAAAACATAATTTTTTTAAAGTTGGATCCTTGTTTCGGCTGATGGCTAGATGATTTCTTCTTCACTCATGTTCTTGCTGAACCTTGTTCTCCAAGACAGAAGCATGAAGGTGGTCGATTACAGTTACATTACGCATGCTTAATGCTTCTGGAAGTTATGCTTCCAGAAGCATTAAGACTGGAATCCGCTGTGATACATTGACAAGACAGACTGGAATCTGCTGCGATACATTGACAAGTTTGTCTGAAATGGAACCGCTTTTCAGTATAGGTATTTCATCAAGGAAGCGCATTAACCAATATTTTGCACTACACTTTCTTACAGTGCACTTAAGTGATTCAACGTTAACACCAAAACTTGATTTGGAAGCACTGAACCCAGATTCGAAGCCACAGAACAGACAGCCGAGAACAGAGAGATTACATTATCCAATGGTAGTTCTGTTCTAACGTATAACTCCCTTCAAAACCTCCCTTTAGAGTAAAAATTTTCGATAAAATCTAAGACTACTAATATTATTTAATTACCAATCATTTAATATTTTTTTCTCTCGTAGCCAAACATTTGCCAATCGGATATTCGTCGGGAGATGACTGACCTTACTTACAGGAACATTATCCAGAATGCCCATAGCTAATAAACAGGAAACACAACTGTAAAGAAGTATAAGACATAATAAATATGTATGCCTCATCTTGGTCTGCCAGCTTAGAAGCTGTTTTCACTCTGTATATTGTGGAACGAGCAGCAAAAGTCTTGTACTGCAGATATGCTTTCCTCCCTCTATATATAACAGCCCTCTCGAATTTTGGTAACACATTCCTTATGAAAATAGGTTACAGAATTCTATTAAAAAATCCAGTTATAGTATGAATTCTACCGAAAATATAAGATCCAGCTTACAAAAACTTGGGCCAAAATTCTAAACAAGTTTTCTTTTCTCTTAATTTTCTATAAGAGATATTAATAGAAGCTTTTGAATATATAAAAGCATTATAAAATCAACAAAATTCTCTTTTGAGATTGGAACAAATGAATTAAAATTTTCAGTTTTGAACAGAATTTTTTAACTTGAATTTTAAAATGATCTTTAGCATGTAGGGGGGAGGATAGAAACTCTTAGAACACATAGCTGATTTTTTTTTTCTAATTAAAATTTCCAGTATTGTTGTTTTGACTTAAAAAATCAATATATTTTAAATAATAGTTAAGTTTTATTAAAATTATGAAACCATTTCTTTTATCAGCGGTACATATACAATAACTGAAAGCATTATTTTCAGAAATTAAATTTTCACTTTTACAAGATTTCATTTTTGATTTTTGTATTATATAAGCAATACTATATAAACAATTGCACGAAATGTTGCATAGAAGGTAAAAAACATTAAGCTAAAGGAGAATAGGCAAAAGTTCTCTCAAAAGAATTATTCAACACTTAAACACAACACTAGAAACTGAAAATTAAAATTGAAATGAAACTGAATGAATTATGAAATTAATTATTAAACTGAAAATTTGTTTTGATTATAGATTGAAACTTTAGGGGCTTCAACAGAATATCAGTCTATGAAAAACTGGATTTCTATGAGATGAGATTTTGAAAAGTAACATTATAAATTTCTGTTCTGTGAAATGTTTATTTAACTTCTATATGAAATGTATAAAGGGTTACCTATAATGTCCTATAAGAATTTCTATATAACTCTATAAACATTTTTATAAAGGATTGTAAAAAAACTTTACATATGTACGAATATAATACACAATAAAAAAATGCATGGCGAATAGATTTACTCTACCCCTTCAAAATATTCTTCTCAGTCATAATTATACATTTATAAGCATTGCTTGTATTTAAGGCATTTTTCTTTCTTGATATGTCATATACATCAAGTGATGTTTTCCTGTTATCTTACCTTTATTTTCATTTACTAAATTTAACACAAAAGATGTAAGAATGATAAAGTTCTGCTGCATCCCTTTAATCCGAAAACTGAAGTTCTGCCATTATTTGCAATACTGGATTGGAAAAATCCACTGAAGTTTAATAGCTTCAATTCTTAATTTCAGTGAAAAAGAAAGAACTTGGGATGACCAATATTGAATTGCACTGGCTACACTGATTAGGTTTTCTAGATTAAAAACAAGGACACTACTAACATGTTTAATACCAACTTATAAAAATCTTCCATAATAATTAAAAATATTAAGAGGAACATAAACAACACCTATACTTTTAAATATAAGTAAAATTATCACTTTCGTATTCAATGATAGAGCAGAGCTAACCACAAATCTTTAAGAGATCTGCCTGGCTGAGTGTTTGGCCTTCTTACCTTGTACTGAATATTTTGCAGAATGAGCTTGGTATAATATTTAATTTTTTAAAACAAATATTTTAGTTCATCATGAAGTTTTGCATGACTAACAAGACATTGTAGGAACAGCAGGAGTCCTGTCTCCCAAAATCAAGCTCATCAAGTGGCAGACAAGCTTATGACACACTCCAACAGTGACAATGAAATCTCAACTTTTGTAATGTGAAGTGGGAATATTAGCCAGTAAGCTATTTCTGCAGTGTCAGAATGTTTAATCTCCCATCTATCTATCAATCGATCGTTTGCCAATGGATTAGATTAGAATTGATCTTCAGATTAGAATTTGACAGAAATTTTTATCTCTGAATTGATTACTCAAAACCTTTGTGTTGAAGACTGTTGCTTGATTTTTCGATTGGAATATTAAAATTAATTTTATACTTTTATTTGCAATAAAGAGGTTGAGTCAAGAATTTTAAAATAATGACAAAATAGCGGCATCAGGTGCAACACAAAATTTTGTTGTCACTTGCCTAAAATTCTATTTCAGTTTACTTACATATTTCATGTTTAACACATACTTAAGGAATCCATCATTTCTGACATTTTTATTTCTCTGACTGGTGACTTTTACATTTTTGTTTTCTCACTGTTTTGATGTTCTGTTGGTTCTTAATATTGATATATGCTGAATAAATAACAGTTCTTTGATGATGTCTTACTTGTTTTAAACCATCAAAATTGCTCAAAACATTAAGTTAAACAAGCAGTATCAACCATTTTCAACCTTATAGAATATCATGGTGGCTCCATACACATGGTTAGATTAATATTTTTGAATGTATGAAATAATTCTGCCAAAAATAACAAAGCTGTATTACAAAAATAAGAGTACATTTGTATCACACAATGAATTTATTTATATATTTTACACTGATATAATTACACCATCAAGGGACTGAGCAAATATTTTCAAAATAACATATTTTTTTAATGATTTACAAACTTCTTTCATAAAAGCCTGGAAACAGACTATGTTATTATATTGCTTTATTAAATGGTTTTATATGGAAAAAGGACAAGTTAGAATCATATAAAAACTACATTAAAATTTAATACATAAAATATTAAAAACTGATTAACAGATAATACAACTGATACAAATAAAAAAAAACATCATTTGGTTTGTGTCTAGAAAATGCTCAGACACCTCGTTTACAGACTTTTCTACCGGAAGTCCTCCTCCACATTATAATTCTGTTATATGTTTACACCTGATATATAAATTATTAGAAATTATGCTTTATAAATAACATAAAATATAATAATGTATGTTAAATCAAGTGCAAGAAAGTACCACACAGAAGACAGACAACACAAATTACAGATTTGTGAATATGGAAAATATACTTTTCTTCTATTTACAAGTCACTTTTAAATAAAGTGTTATGGCACACAGCTTCAACTGGAATGGGAATTAATCAACAGATGGGCAGTTTCAGAGTAGAATTTTCAATACTTCTCATGATAGAATACTTCATGTGAATGAATTTATCTAGAACATATTTCAGATTTTTTTTATAATGCATAATAAAATTGAGAATATTTTTTAAAATATGCAATAAGGTGCCTGAGCATCCTGAAAATGTAAAAGATGGAGCAAAAATACAAAGTGCAAAAGTGATGACAAAAATTTTGAACAATTCTACCGACTACTACAACACAGACAAAATATTATTGCCAGATATACAGCCAAATTGTGCTATCATAAGCAACATTTGCATTGTACATATATCTAAGTGGTTAGATTAGCTGCCACATTTTTTCTTTTTTTAGTTATTCTTAAATCTCTGAAGATTAATGAGATGCATCAGGGTCCCTGAATATAAATCATCAACAAAACTTCTCATCTTCAATATGTATTCAATAAACTGAAACAAAATGTCTTTCTTCTTAAATACTTCTCTGAAAGACTGTACATCAAAGTGACGATAACAATATTTAAACAAATAACAAAATAGATATTAAAAATTGGAATTCAAACAAAATAGTTAATGATGGTATATTGAACTACTAAATTAATACCAAAATTTAACAGTACAAACAAAAATATATAAGACTTTAAGAAAAAAATGGTATACCATTCCAAAAGCTCTTCAAGAGGAAAATTGAGAGGTGAAAGCTAGGCACTATTCAGAAAATAATGCCTCACAGTGATTTAGACTGGAGGGGGGTATTCATATACAGGCAACACTCACTTGACATTAATGCATTGAAGTAATAAAAGAATTTAGCAATTATTTGAAGTACTTCACTCAGTACCAGCTTCTGTTATTTTATGACTAGAATTAATTAGAAAGTTCTAGATACGCAATATGAGTGATGTATAACGCATAGCATATGCACGTCTTTTATCCAGCTTTACTGACTTGTAGTCATTAGGCTCTTTCAAGGATTTACTGATTAAATAATTCTGGAAAAGGAAATCTTTAATTTCCAATTACTTAAATAAACATCACATTTCTTAATTGATTTTCAGCTAACACTTCAGAAATTTATAATTTATGAAAAGTAATTATTTTATTATACCTAGTTACTATTTTCTCTTTGTCTTAAGAAATAAATGTTCTCTTTTTGACATTTTTAACTTTTCTAACCAAACATTTTATTTAGAGTATCAAATAAATGCATATTAGTCCATGTAATTCTTCAATGTGCGTACAAAGTTTACTTAAAAAGAATTATTGTAACTGACATATACTACTAATGTAATATCAATAGCCTTAACACTTTGGTAGGAAAAAGGCATTTAACTGTTTTCCAGATATCAGTAATCAGTATTTTCAATTCCTTCATGCAAAGAAATTTATATAACTTACTACCAGCTGTGGTTAATTTCTGTCATTCCAAACAGAGAATGAGAGGAATTTCTTTAACCATTTTTTGATTAAATTCAATTTTAAAGTCAGTAAAATTAATTGCTTTATTTATTAATTATTTTCAATTAATTGAAATAATGATCATAATAAGTTTCAATTAATTTGTTTTAAACAGAATGTGATAGGACAGATGACTGTTTAAGCAATTATGTGCTTTATATAGCGACAACAGAAATATTATAATAGATATAAAATTTAAGAAAATCAATACCAGTAATTTTATCATTTAGTGAAATTAAGTAAAATAAGTGTATATTTCTGTGTGATACTAATTTTTTACTTAGCCTTTCATACACCTGCAATTTCCTACTTCAGTTTGTGATATATTAAACACTTTATTTTTCTACTAACCTAATCTTGTTGCAATTTAATGTATATTAAAAGTTTCATAATGTTTTATTACCTTCTCTCTCTATTACCTCTATTCTTATTTTTTTATACGCAAACACACACACATAAATAGCGACAGATGTTGTTGTCTTGCCCATATTATATGGAACACCTGGTTGCCACAGCCTACTCCGCAGACAGGTTGGACTTTTAATAGAGACAGATAAAGGTGATAAAAAAACATCAAATTTTAATGGACCAATCTGTTATAAAATTTTGAATATTACAGAAAAAGCATGCTAAACAGGAATTGCCTGTATTTGCTAAAACAATTTAATTTATAATAAGAAAGTTAAAAATATAAATTCTAACATTTTTTTAAAAATATTTAACAAATACACAATATACCTGCGAAAGAAGTCTCATAAGCATCTTAATTAAAAAAAAATATTAACAGTCTATACAATAACAATTTTAAGCATAACATTAGATCTAATTAGATGAATCTGGATTTGGATTTTGGCCATAAAGATTTTTTAACTACAAATATATATATAGATATATATATATATATATATACATAGCAAGAAAGTATATATATATATATACATAGCAAGAAATGGTACAAACTGCTGATAAAATAAATTACTTGATGGGAAATGAAAAATCCCTTTTAAATAACAATGAAGATAATTTAAAGGCAACACAAATAAAATTAAAAACCGTAGTGATAAATTTAATGAAATGAAAAAACTATGCCAATATAACACATAAAAGAGCAAGCTTCCAATACTTATTCTATTATGTAAAGAAATTAAATGAAAATTTTGCAAGCAGTTTATGTACTGCAAACTAGTTGTTCAATAAAAGCTTTAGCATAATACTGTAAAATTGATGAAAAATAGACTATTTCAGTAAAAATTCTTATTTAAATAGTAGAAGTTTTCACTTAATATTAGACAGTTGATTAATTTATTATTATTTTTTTTATCAAAATACTGCAATCAAAATTTTTGCAACATAGCTCAAAATGTAACATACAAATTGTACTATGTAAAATATATCAGTGCAACTAAAATATTGGACAGAATACGCAGGTAGGCAATAGGATGGACGAATATTTTAAGCAAGCGTGTGCTTTATATAGTGGCAGGAAAAGCAACATCATTCATATAAAATTTAATAAAATAATCAATATAGTGAAATACATTTTCATACTCAACGGAAATTAAAAAAAAAAAAAAATAATAATAAATAAAGTGTGAAAGCTTTTAAGGAGTAAATATATAAAGAGGAAAAATTCCTCTCAAGGTAAAGTACAGCTAACTTAAAATGTTTCACACAATATATTAGATTATCATACATTTAAGTAGTATAATTTTAGTTAGCTACTTTTCAAAATGCATTTAAAACCTCTATTATCTACGACTAGATGATAACCTACTAAAATATAAAGAGCAACTGTTCAACAAATGAGAGCTAACTAATACATTTCTATGCAAGTAATGTAATATGCTGAAACAAATACAAGAATGAAAAATTATATATGTTATTACATACATATCTAATAAAAATTCAAAGAAATTAACAGTAATCTTTACTTTCATTAGAGACACTAAATTAATGCATATGATAAAACCATTAATGCTATATCTTATTAAAGAAAATAAAATCTATTAATATATTATAGCAATCTATAAATAATTGAATATTACGCCATGTCATTTAAGCCCAATATCCTTAATAACAAAATTCATTTAATATTATTGCAAAAATTTCCTTGGAAAATGTATTTGAAAGAAATTTCAAAATTTTAAGAAATTAAACAGCAACAACAGACAAATTTAGGTAGTGTTAAAACAGTTTTGTTGCTTTAGAGACAATAAATAAATAATCTTCATAATATTACATCAGTATTCACATATTACAATGAAAAGTACTAAATGATTGTTATACCATATAGAAGATATTATAGCATTATTTCAAAACCACAGAAGAAAATAATGTATGAACACAGATAGTTAGCAAAGAAACTTAGAATTTTAATGAAAAACTAATTCAAAATCTTTTTTCTTTACATTTTAACATATTTATATTACATGAGTAAATTTATAGGATTATACTGCTGGCATGGATAGAATGATAGATTTTTTTTAGGCATGTAATTCCAACAATTTTATACCTATTTTACTTTGAATATACACAGTAAAATTTTACAAAATTTTAACCTCTGTTCACAAATACTTACAATTAATATAAGAAATATATTAAAGATTGCAAAATAGAACAAATACACAAATAGTTCAAACACTTGCATGTATTAAATGGTCCCTTCCATATTAAAAAAAAAATTAACTTCACAGAAATAAAAAAATAAGATGTATAAAACTGTGACATTTCCAAAAATTAATTATACAAAATGTAAATATTTTTCTGACATACTCTTTCCTTAATAATAAATTGTAACTCTAAAGAAACTTTTCAGGGGTACACCAGTACACATTACAGAAACAGTTTCTAAATTAATATGTTACATATCAAATATCTAAAACAAAAACACATACATTATATTTGAAAGCTCAGTCACTTAATACTAAACCTTTAAACAGATTTTGCATTCTAAAATTCCAAAATTCACTTTTTTAACATTAATGAATGCTTTGAAGCTAAATTTTCCTAACAGGCAAATCTAACATGGCAAACGCATATTAAAAATTTAGCAGTAGAATCCTATACTAAATTGGTAATTTGCTTCTTGATCAAACCTTATATTAATTACCATTCTACTACTGCATTATTAATAAATGTAGGTATGTATGTACATATATGTATTTATGTATATATGTAAGCTGGAATACAAAAATAAAAATATGAATTCCTTCATCATTTTAAGAAGAAGCATTAGATTCAGCAATAAAATTGTATGCAAAATGGCTGGAAGTTTCAAGTGAAAAAACTAGGGATAATAAAAGCAAAGCTCAAATTATTTTGAGCAGCAATAAAAATAAAAGCAATGTTATAAAACTAAAGCAGTTGATTACATCAAAAATGTATTTCCCTGTATGCCTGGTTCAATAAAACATTCAAAAGGGAATTATTACAATGACTGTATTTAATGCGCTTTCAAAATTTTTACTACCTAAATTTTTCCTTTTTAGTTTAGAGGCAGTTAATTTATTGTGATATTTTAATGGAATATCATAGTTCAACAAGATATAATAATCACAATATCTAAGGAATGTAACTCATAATGGGCATAATTGCTCATATATACAAAGTCTTGAATGTTAAACTTCAATACAAATAAACTATGTTTAAAATCATTCAGTTTAATTTTTTATTATACCAAAATATAAAAACAATAATTCTTTTAAATGGCAATAACATTAATACTTTTAGAGACTACATTTTAAAGAAATTTATTCAAAAATGAAGCTTATTAATAAGCCATATGAAATTAGTCATAAACATTGCACAAAAAGGTATAAATAAAAAACTAAAATATTTTATTCCAAAACTTTTTAATCCTAGACAAATTATAATAAATCATTCAATTACATTATAAAAATGAAGAATAAAATAATATGAAGTTCTCAGTGCAGACTCAGGGACCCATGTAAACAGCAATCTTTAAATTTTACATTTAGGGAATACTTGAACTAGGATCTATTTATTATGTGTGTATACATGCTGGGGTAAGCAAATGTGTACGATAACGAAGGGATAGTTTTCATGAGATATCTAAATTACAGCATACTGTTATTTCTAAGGTGTTAATTCATGCAACATTTATAACAATTGTAACAGACGTTAAAACCAGAACAATACCCTTGAACTGTTTCTATATTCAATAGCTTCTCGTGTTTTTTTTCCTTTTTTTTTTTAAAACTAATAATGGAGCTAAGCAGAATCCATTACTATAAGCACCTTTTAAAAGAGACAGAGATGCAGTCAGGAACAACCAGAAGCTCAAAAGGATTAGATGTAAAGGAAGTGCCAGAAGTCCCCCAAAAAGTAGCAGTTTATGTAATACTTTATTACGCAAAGATGCACTAGGTATGAAAAACCTCAGTGCACTTATCTGAATAAGTGCTACATTTTTGATGATTTATTTAAAAATGGAATAAGCTTCTGAGCTGTTCTTACCTGCATCAAAAAATCAGTTTGTTGTATTTTCCAAAGCAGAGCACCAGAGGACGAAAAAGTGAGCAATCTACATTTATGCAAAAATTTACATACATACACATAAACAGCAGTTTTCGCCCTCAGCAACAAGTATGAAAGAGTGACATAAAATGCTTTGTCAGAGATACATATTGCCAAACAAAAGTGCAGTCGAATATGTAAAAGTAGATTTTAAGTATACATATGGTAGACTCTTGTGGTGACTTGAGATGTCATATTGTGAAAATATAGAGCTTAAATGCAGTCAAAAAGCAGAAAATGTCAAGAGGGGAGAAAGATGAACTAGTTCATGTTCAGAACAGTGCAGTTGATATAAATAGTGCTCATTTGCGTAATAATTTAAACTACAATTTTTGGGCGGACATCTGGCAAAAATATTTAAGTAGATGAATACTTGCCACTTTCAGCTCTTTAATACTCAGTGCTTTATTACTTGCTACTTGAGCATCAAGCCAGCCTTAAAACTATCAGAATGTGCAAATATAATGAAAATTTTTTCCTTTGGAATTTATGTATAAAATATATATTTCATTTAATATTTATTTAACAATGATGACCCTTTCTGATATTGAGAGCCCAGCTCAAGCATTTTAGAGGAGAACACAATTCTAATTTTAACTCGAATCAGTACACATTTACACATTCCTTAATGAAATTAACAATGGAGGCTCAAATGAAAGTTCAAGAGAAACAACAACAACAACAACAAAAAATTTGAGGAATTAATGTTAGTTGGAAGAGGAATGCTATAATAAAAAAAATACTCATTAACTTAAAAAATATAGAATTGTCACATAACATCTGAAACTGCACATAACAGCAAAGTGTTACAGACTTCACACATGCTCAAACACTGGCAAGAGATGATAGAATTCTGGGCTTTTTGACTGCATCTAATTATAAATATATGCACATATGATAAGATTAACTTCACAACTGCACGAATACAGATGCTTCTTTCACACGCACACACACACACATTCTACAATACCTCATAATGTCTCTTTAAATATTAATTTGGCATTAGTATTCTCAACAGTTCATTTAAAACAGTATTGTGCAAATTTAAATATTTCATACACACTTTGTTTTATTATTATTCACCATATTCCTCCAACATTCAATGGGAGTTTAATTCAGTGAATGATAATAAGACTTCAAATAGAGTACAGGTATTTTCTATAAAAATACACACAATTTGATTTTTTTTTTACAGTCTTATAACAAATGTCTAATGCCATTAAACAAGCACAATATTAGAGGTTATTCTCACTGAAATAACTTAATAATAAACAGAAACACAATGGGAAAAGTGAACAGAAAATTAACATTTCAGTCTAAATGTAACATATTACAATCTTCCGGGAACACGGGTTAAATACATGTTAAAATAATAATATAACAAAAATAATAAAAAATTGAAATTAATTTAAAACTTAATGATAATACAAGGAAAATATGATAAAACCATACATAAATAACTATACTTAACGGGCTTTTCTTAATCAATAATAATGATGCAGAACACATATAAAGCAAAGAACACAAACTTAAAAAAAATTTTTAAAACATTTAAAATATTATATTTCATTAATGGAAAACATATAACATAGATAAATAAATGGAAAACATTTATTTATCTAGATATCTATGATATTTATTTATCATAGATAAATAAATGGAAAACATATAACATAGATAAATAAGTTAAAAGGAATGATACTCTAGATTGTAAATATTCCCAAAGTTATTGCATTCTGACATTATTAAAACCAATGCCAAAATTACATATTTCATGTCCATCAACAAACAATAGGACGTATTTAAAACTTATAAACAAATATCAAAAAGCACATTAATAATAGCCACAAGTATGAAAAGAGATTTAAAATAAACCGCCATTTAAAATCTGAAGTGCTGTTGCTGATTAAAACCATACCGTATTTGCGCATTTAAAGGACACAATCTGTTTAGAAGTCTGCATCAGCTGGCCATTTTGGTGGTGAAATAAGTTAACATCTCACTCTTTTTAATCAGTGCATCAGTCAACCAAACTCACCTAATAAATATAAAACAAATATTTTAAAATATGTATTTACTTTTGACAATTAAATCAGTTTTAAAACACTAATAATAATCTTGTTTAATATAAAGATTACTTATACTTTTCTTTTAAAAGTTTTTCTGCATACTTTTAATAATGTTTTAAATTTAATCACCTGTGACATTAAACATGTGATTGCTTTATTATTTATAGCAAAGGCAGATTTACACCAACAAGAACTTAATAATTAACAGAAAAACATCATAAACAATAAACAACATTTAATTAGATGGCTCACTTGACTCAACATGGCAGCTTTGTAATCATTTACGTTAGGTAGCTCTGTAATCATTTCATTTTTTAGACATCTTTTATTAAGAGATATTGATAATAATATATTAATGACATAATAATATATTAATGACATAATAATATATAAATGACAAAACAATTATAATAGGTATTGCAATACACAATTCAACTCAAAAAACTAATAAAAGTAAAATTCTCCCAGTCGCAAAAGTGCAAAAAAGAAAAATATTTGATGACTCATTACCTCCTGGTACCTGCAGTTTTTTAAAATTATTTCACATGTATAAATATAAAGTTTTCATTTTAAAAAAGTATTAAGAAAATGTAAAGTAAGAAAAGTATTAAGTAAAAAGTACTTATTATGAAAATGTTTCTAAAGTAAATTATGCATTTTTTATTTATTGAGTTAACATGCATAAATAATATAAAACAAAGAAAAAGAAACTTTCTTTAGGAAGTTATCTTGCTATGATTACAAAAATCCTAAATGTGGATTCATTAAATGGATCACATATTTCAAACAGGTTAACAAATTTACTGCAAAATAAGGAATTCAATTACTTAATTATAAGATTCATGCTTAGCACACTGCATATTATGCATTAAGAATTAGGAAATACAGAACACAATTTAACCTATGCTTGGAATGTTAGCAAAATGCTCTTTAGTGTCACAATTGTTATATAAATATGATTTAATGTGAAGAAAAATGAATATGAACTGTTGCTTATGCTACAAATATTAGTGGAAAATGCAATCTATTTTACACACTAAGCTTAAAAATTAGATAAATTTGTTTCACTTAATAACACAAAAATGAATGGAGCCAACATGCAAAATATAAATTTGACAGTAATGAATGAAATTTGAAATAAAAGTTATTAGGTGATTATTCTCAGTTTTACATACTTCAAATGGAACACGAGTTATTTTTCTACAGCATATTCTATATGTTCATAATCAGCAAAGCAAATCTACACACCTTTCAAACTACCTAATGCAGAATAAAAATTTGAATGTCATGACTTTTCTATTAGACTTTTTATTCACTTCTGTCAAATTACTAATTCTCAGACATTCTGAGTAACCCATTATAATTTTATAATTTTTGCACTGAAATTAAACCTCAAATATGCATAAATTTTTCAAATTTTATTAGAATTAAAAAATTGTTATCATCTAAGAAAATAAATCACTTCTTTATATTTTCCCCATGAAACTGAAACTTTAAATAACCATAACTTAACGACAGAAGTGATTATGGGTAATAATCAAACAGATGCACAAAATACTTCACTGAATATTGAATCTATTGGCAGATGCAAAAGTTCAGAATGCTCAGGTGATTTCATAATTTGCACTTCATAATGAGAAAGTTTTTATTAGTAAAAATAAATGAGACAAAAGTTATAATCTACTCTTAGTAAAATTTTACACTTGAAGAAAAGTGAAAATGCATAAAACATAAAAATGAAGTTTTACAGTCTTAACAAAATGAACTTCTAAATAAAAGTTTGAAGAGTAGCTTTTAAACATTATTCTTTTTAATAAAGGAAATAATGTAAGACTGGGGAGGGGGTCAGTTCTTATAATTTAAGTAACAGTCTAATACAACAATAATAAAGGTGTAAAATATTTAAAGTACTATGTTTATTAAAATGACTTATTCTGTAAAAATATTAATATTTTAGATAGCTACTTAAAAAATTTTTCCACTTCTGTAACAGTTTCAGCTCACTAAACTCAGAAAGGCCAAATTAAATATAAACAAAGTTTTTGAAAATGATCATAAATAAACAAACCTACACTCAAGAACTTCCGTAAAGTTAACATTATGTCATATGATTTCAGTCTTTCATTAAGCATATGCTAATCTGGTACTGCATATCTTCAGTAACTAGGCATATTCATTTTCATGAGACTATGGAACAATTAGACAATGTGTAACTCACACAAGGATACTTCTAGCAAGATACTGTGACATACCTTTCATCTCAAGAGCTAATATATTAAAAACACAGCAATTTTAAATTAATTGCATAATTCTGAAAAGTCTATGGCATTATGATTTTTTCCCCCACTTGACCAGCAAACTCCTTTTTAGTACTTATTCAAAGAAACAGTTTTTTTGGGGGGAGGGGGGTATTCAGCCCCTAAACACATGAAGATTTAAAGAATAATACTACTGGAGTATTATGCCAATTATTAAAATATAAGCAATGCTACACAAGTCCAAACCCAGTCAATAACTAATGAAAGATTAAGGCTCCTTTGGACAACTGGTATGATGCCAACATATTTGACATGAGACTAACATGACTTTAGATTCTTATCATGTTAAATCTATCCAAATATATACATATATATATACATTAAAAAAATCCTTTTTTTAAATCCTACTTTATATTAAATAAACATGTGTAGAGGGAGTGAAAACTTAGTGTTTAAATAGTTTAACTCAAAAATGAATTCATTTCTTCCTCTCATATGATTTGAAGAGTAAAACAACAAATGCTTGACATTCCACACTTCACCAAAGCTATAGAAACACAAGTTTGTATCAGGTAAACCAAAACTTTTCAGATGAGTCGAAATTACCGTGACCAGTTAAAAATTTAGTAATTTCAAAATTTCAGGAAAAATATTTATTATTCAATTTTTGAACAACAAAAGGAAACAATAATTTAGTTAGAGAGGCAGCAGAATTTCTGTATAATTCATTCTGCTTGAGAATTGTTTCATTCCAACTTTGTTTGCTGAAGGATGACTTAAACAATGTCATCGTGGTATTAATTTGAAGATTTGTAGCTTTTTTTTTGTCAATCAATCAAAATTCATTTCCTAGATTATCAGTGTGGCCACATTCAATATTTTTATTATAAAGATCTTTAAGAATCATATGAAAAGTGACAATTTATTACAGGAGAAAATATTCATCACAGAATATAAGGATGAAAGAGAATCAATGCAAATAAGAAAGTTACAACTTAATGAACAATAATTAGATATTGACTTATATGATTTACTAATGACCAGTAACTTGGCTTCGCAAACATGGCATTCATTGGGAGTTTCTAAAGACTTTGTATTCCAGTTCAGAACCATGATGAAAAATAATATAAGCTACTCCAATTCAATTATTAATTTTACTGCCACTAATTGCATACAATCAGTAAATTATCTTCAACGGAATTGTTGTAAATCATAGTTTGAATTGGCAAACAATCAGCCCAATTGATTCAGATGCCCAAACAGCACCTTTGTATCGAACATAAGTTTGCTGATGTTACCTTTAAACTCTTTGTCATGTAAAACATGAAGATCAGTCCAAGGGGGGCCCTCAAATCGCGAAACAGGTTTCACAGTTAATTGTTTTGTAGCCACGTACAACTCTTAGTAAAATTCTTCTTTGGATTCTGCGAAGAATAAAGGAATTAATCTTTCTTTCTAAAGCTGTTCCCCACACTCTAGAAAGATAGAAAACTATACCGTTTATAAATTTAAAAAATAACATTAGATTTTACACCAAAAGTATTACAAGAGACACAATTAATTCCTATAAGTATATTCTTACATTTTTTTGTACAAATACACAGCATGGAGGAAACAGAAATATTCTATGAGCACATAAATAACTACAAGAGGTTTCAAGTTAAGCCCTATTTCAAATGCAAAATCTTAAAAAACAGTAATCAAAGTTAAACTTTAATACACCTTTTATATTTTCAGTTAATTGATTTTGGACTAGAAATGAATAACAGAGGCTGAAAAGATAATATTAATACTGACAAACTACTTGTAATTTACAACTAATAAACCAACAGTATGAAAATTGTAGAGGAAGCATCAATAGCCAAATGTATACAGTGGAATCTTAGTTCATGAAAACTTCAGACCATAAACATATTTTCTAAGTGAAAAATGTCTTGGATGCTGAATGCTGTCTCAAGATATGAACAAGTAAGCTGGTAACATATAATACTCCAAAGGCAGGTAATGCAGTGGAGGAAATGTCTTAAAAAGATGACACTGGACAGGAGGATATTCCTAGTTCTCTGATCCACAAAATTTATGCAAAAGGAGGTAAGCTGCAGAGATTCATAGAACATTATATCCCTGATACAGCAATAGTAAGCCGAACCATAAATATTTGCAATGACACTGTAGAACATATTCAAACATAGACAGAAGCAAATCACAGGGGATAAATTTTTAAGGATCAGTGATTCTCAAACAAAGAAAAAAGGGAAAAAAAAAAAAAAAAAAGGAAGTGGGAAAGAAAGACAGCAGCTACCTATTATTTTTGCAGAATAGGATTTTCCTTTCAAGCAACAACATTCTGCACATGCACACTTCTTCACCATTTTCTACTTATGCTGCAACTTTCTTTTGCAGAGATATGGTAATATTTAATTCAAGTTTTCCCAATATTTTTTATATGTTTAATATTGTGTATGTGATTTAATAAAATACATAGGTTATTTATATTACAAACTTATATATAAAGTATTCCAAGTGATCATCTGGGCTCCAGGAACAGGTTAATTCATTTTACATAAATTCCTATGGGAAAAATTGTTTCGGTTTACAAATACTTCAGATCATGAATTATTATCTTCAGTTAAAAAGAATTAAGTTTGTGAATTCTATAAACTTTTGTAATCAAAATTCAAGTAACAGAAAGTAAGAAATTATGAAAAATTTACTTAGAACTAGCTTAACTAAATATATACTACAATAAGACAATTTTGGCAATGATTATTATATATGAACATCATATTAGCAGAAAATTAATCTTCTAAGCGGTAAGAATATTTTTTGTGATATCTGTAAGAATGTATATATATGTGCATATTAAAATATGTCAAAGAAATTAAGGCAATATATCAAAAGAAAACAAATCGAGGTATGAAATACCACGAGAGTTTTTACATTAAAATCAAAAAAATAATTTGTTCTCATAGTTTTGGGAAATTTGTGCTTTCTTAGCAAAAATCCTGGCTGCTCAGAGGGTTAAACTACTATGCACTTAATATTTTCATGCTAGGGAAGACATCTAAATTTATCAGTCTAAGATATAACCCCTGCAAAGGAGGTTATATCACAATGGGAACCACACTGTCTAAGTGGAACCATGATTGCTTAGAAGTGAACATTGCGATACATGTACATTGTGCCTCATAGCATTAATTAGAATTAGAGACCACATAGGCTCAATAGTCCCTTGATTGCTTACAAGTGGCTAGTTCAAGTGGCATTTCATTGATAACATTAGGATTCTGACCTAGAGTCATTCTATCACCATCCAGTTCCTACTGGTGCAGTATTTGAAATATGTGAAGAATATATGTGAAGAAGAATATACCACTTCTTTATATATGTGATATATTTATATATGTGAAGAAGAATGTACCACTTCTTTAAAGGAAGTTTGGGGTTCAATTAACCCATATTTAAGCTTTTATTATGCCTTGGCAGGGTACAGCAATGGTACGGGGGCCGAGTTGCTCACAGGCATGCTAAGGAAGTTTTCAATTGAGATGATGCAGGAAGCCCTAGGGACAAGCGAACTAACATGCATGGTCCATAGAAGGGTAACCACTCCTTCATCATGAAAGAACTTTGTGTCACATTGTGCATGAAACCAGTTAAAGACAAGTCCCGGCCTGCAGTGGTAGCTATATATCAATTGCGGGCCAGTATCTCATTCCTGCCCACCTACCGTAGGCAGTAAATTGCTTAAATATATAAGAGCATATAGAAAGGTATGCTTATTCATTCCTATAAGTGGCCAAGTGGTAAGATTACTGAATATTGGTAGTTTGACCTGGATTCAAACCCAGAGATCAGACTGGCTGTTTGAGCATTTTCATGGCTTTCCTCAAGTGCAATGTGTGAATGTGAACCAGTTCCTATAAAATGTTTTCCACTAAGTCATTTCTCCTCTTAAGCAGATAGCTCTTGCGTGCTTTGCCATTATCTAATCAAATCCATTCATTTATCTGCCTAACAATAAAAATTACACCTATAGGACCAAAATATTCAGAGACCAGATACAACTTTAGCCTATTCAGAAAAACAACTCTTTGAGGAGATGGTTTACAGCAATTTTATCATATTACAATATTCAGCATTTGATTTTTGAACATACTTTATACTTATTATGAAAATAAATTTCATGTACTTAAGCATACAGTATATACATCAATATTTCTACTGCTAAAAGTAATCATGCTTATTGAGGTAGGAATTTATTACAAACGTATAAAATAATAATTTTATACATATTAATATTTAACTAGATTTGGAAAACAGAAGAAAATTAACTTAGCATTCCTGCAGAGTTTGCTGATTGCTAAATAAATCAAAAGGTATTTGATATGCATATATACTATATAAAAAGGCACAGAAAATCAACCGTGCAAATAGCTGACAAATATAACACACATGGCTCTAAGCTATTAAAATAAAGCAAAAAGGCATAAAATAAGAAAATATGGCACATATAGATATCTCTTTCGCATAAATATGAGTTAAAAAAGTATTATGTTGTGCTAGCAAAAAATATGAAGCAAGAATTGCATATGTTAGGATAAAAGATAAACTGTTGTTATTAATCAAGACAAATACAGTGAACTATATTATCATTGTATTTAAGCATCCTGCAAGTGATTTCTGCACATTTATGGCTAACATCAGTACAATGTATTAATCATACCAACTAACCAAGTAAACTTTAGGATATTGTGGCACTCTCTTTGGATGACTGTCGACTCATCATACTTAGTTCATGTTCGTGTCCAAAGACTGAATCTTCATCTGTAGTTGACTGTTGAGATGGTTGGGCTAAAAGAGGAGGATGGTGGGATTCAACCACTGCATCTGGCTGCAGTGCTGTTTTGTCATCAGTACATGTCTGAACAGCAGAGGAAGGATCGCTTGGAGTGGAACTTATAGGACTAACAATTGGCACTGTGGCTAGAAGCAAAGGCAAACCCACAACAGAGTTGGCAAGCTCACTTTTAGAAGGTGGGGCAGTAGTTGTAACTGTACTTGCTGCAACAGTAGTAGTAGGTGTGGATGATCGAGAAGGACCATATGTTGAAGTGTTGGCGCAGTAAGAAGGCACCCTATGTATTCTGTGCCCACCATGTGCAGGAGATCCTGTGGAGCTGTCAACAGGAGCCACATCTTGTTGTCCAAAAAGATCACTCTCTTGGAAGGTGTGCCTTCTATCTAGAGCTCCATCAGGCAAAGGAGGAGTATCAGGAAACTGAAGAGTCTTGGATAGAGATGGACTAAGAGGAGGATGTCTCTGAGTACCACCACTTAGGAAGGAAGTATCAGGGGCATGGGATATGCTAAGCGAGGGAGAACCTCTTCCTGATGCAACAGACTCTGTGTCATCATCAAGGCCCACAAATTTGATTGGTTGTGCGTGAGATTTTGAACCAGATTTTGGCCCTATAGCTGCTTTAAGTGGTTTAGCTGTAGGAACAAAAGATGTGCCAGAAATTGTTAAAGGTGCATGAATGCTGGATGTGGTAACTGGTATAAATGCACTTCCTGTCTCTGAACTTTCACTTACATTCTTAGGGTAGATATCTGATATTAACTTTTCAGTTTCTTCTTTGTATAGCGTATCTTTTTTCAAGATAGAACGTTTCTTTGCAGTATCAGGGCTATTAAATTTTTTCATAGATGAGCCTCTTTCTAAGGATCCTCCTAACAATGGACTTTTATTTCCATTCTTCTTACCTGAAAAATAAAAGCAAAAATTTTATAAGATTAAAGAATTGAAATTAACATTTTCTTCTTCTTCTTCTTTTCTTCTTCTCTTCTTTTTTTTTTTTTTTTTTGGCAAACAATGAAATATATATATATATATATGCTTTTCTCATATATCCTCAAAACTTACAATTTTGTGGGCAACAACTAGGAAAACTAGTGTTTTTTCCTTAATCAATAAAATTACAAAGATAAAAACTAAATCTTAAAATGCAATTTTTTACAATAATAAACACATTTGCCCAAATAATATCAAATAAGACTAAAATATAAGATGCTCAGAGGATGTGATTCAGAGAAGAAACTCTGAATGGACTAAACACATATCGAAGTAAAATTAAATAAGTGACCTTTTTAAGGGATAAGTTAGAGAAATAATCTATATACTTTTTTTACATGTTATGCTGTACAAATGGTAAAAACACTGTTTAATATTTGAACCAACATAATTAAATTATTTCAAAAAAAAATGCCGTAAAAATTATACAATAATTATCAAGAATAAATAACAATTAAGACAAAATGAATACTATATATGTATATGAAAGTACCAAGACAATATGAATTAGAGAGACCTTAGTGGTTAAGAATTTTGCACATTGAGCTGCAAAATTTTCTAATTTGATAAGTAAGAGGAATGTTTAAAAGCTAATGCTAAAAAATACATTTGACACTATAGTAGTTCCTTAGCAAAAATGTAAAATCATGTAACAACTAGAAATAATATTAAAGTAGCATAAGATATCTCGTAAAAACTAAATGTAAAAATTACAAATCGAGATGACTTCAAAATCAAAAAGAGTGAGAAAAAATTAAGAAATTTTAATGCACAAATAATTTTAAAAAGAATTGTAAAAATTAAATACATTTCAAATACACAGTAAATATGTCCAAAAAAATTGCAATAAATGGTAAATAGCTCAACTCGAGGTTTGAGTCAGATTTATCAAGGGAAAAGCAGCTCAAAACTCGAACAAGTTAATACCTATAGCGCGTTTCGTCAAAGGATAATAATTGAGACTATAAACGTAATTTAACTAATAGAATAATCCAATTTAATAATCTAAAAAAGTATAGTAAGTCTCAATTATAGTACTTCTTTTCCCAACATGCTGTAAATTAAAATTGTAAACATAAAACTTACTGTTAAACAAGAAAAACCTATACAAGTTAGGCAAATGTACAATTAAAATTAAAATTAAAATAGCTAAAAAGCTATTGATGCACTGTAATTTAAATTGTAAATGTTAAACTTACTATTAAACAAAAAGCTATACAAGAAAGCCTATGTACCATTAAAATAAATAGCTAAAAAGCTATCAGTCCAAAAATTACACAATTTTATGCGATACACCTTCTAACCCGAAAATTATAAACTTTTTAAGGAAAAGAATAAAAAGAAACATAATAAAAACCTATAAAAACGGGTCTTGCAAAGACCAAAGAAGAATACAAAAAAGGATGAAACATACTTACGTCCACAGTGGTGGTCTGTTCAACTAAAAATGATCAAAATTGCTGCAAAGGGTTGCCGTAAAAAGAAGCATTCATAAGGAGTGTTACCAGAAAAGTAAAGTTTTTCTAATATGGTGAAGCTTCGTAGAAGGAGGGAAACAAATGTAAAGAAGCAATAGCTAATGGTAAGCAACGGCTAAAGGGGGAAGAACTTGTATTTTTAGATGGAGGTGTAAGAAGGTGAATGACGTTGGCTGTTTTTAACAAACTGGCATCTTGTTTAAAACTGTGTCGTGAAAAAATGTGAAGCTAAAAACAAATTGGCTAACTTCTAAGAAAGTGCTTATCTGGCTGAAAGGAGTTGAAATTGGAAAAATTAGCAATTTGTTAATAAAAAGTTGTAATACTTCGCGCTAGAGGGCGGACAAGCGTTTTTGAAATGAAAATAGCCCTTAAATTAATAAAAGAATATGTATGGCCAGAAAACAGCAATATTAAATAATAAATTTAATAATTTAACTGAATGTCTGTGCCAATTAAGAGAAAAATTGAGGTAGCAGAAAAAAACTATGTTACATTTTTACATTAGATCAATTGAATTAGCCATCCATAAGTTCCCTTCCCTTGGGATTTAAGTAAAAATTTCATTATCTAATTCAAACAATCTAAAATAAGAGGTAAATGCCAGCTTTTTTTAAAGAATTTTTAATGATAGCTTTTGGAATAAGACTGCTTTGTAAGACTTTAATGAAGTATAGTATTTCTTCTTGAAGGAGGTGTGCTTTATTACAGATTCTTTTAATTCTAAGAAGCTGTGCATTAATTGTAATAATAATGACTTTTTTTTTTAGAAATGTTAAAAAACCAGTTAGTAAGTTTTAATGCCTGAAAATTGAAGTTTCTGCGTTTGTCAAATATTTTAATAAGATTGTAATTAAGAATTTGAAGATCTAAGTAAACAATATCATTTTTGAAAAGTATTAGTGGCATTAAGTATATATGTATATGTATATATATACACACACACAAGATATATATTTTTTAAAACTGGAACATATATTCAAACTCTTCAAGGAATTAAGAGGAAAAAAAAAAAAAAAAAAAAAAAAAAAAAAAAAAAAGAAGAATATTTAAAATTTTAAAATGATGCCAAAACCCATTTCTCATATATATATATATATATGGCCCACCAGTGGCTAATCAGTAAAGTCGCTGAACACTGGTATTTGGTCCGAGGTTTGAATTCCCATAAAAGGGCTGGCTGCATGGGCATTAGACTTTGAGTGCCTTGCTGTAATAAAATAAACCAAACCAAACCATACACATATGTAATGATTTAGAAAAGAAGATTCGGATAATAATAATGATGACTGATCAAACACATTTATCTTTATTCTTGAGAAGCCCAATTTTAAAATGAATTACACTGCATCCATTACATAATGGTTGCAGTTAGCATCCATTCTTGAAGAACAACATCGGCACTATTTATAGTTTTGGAATACATTTGAAGCAACAGGTCCAGCTAGCAATAGAAGCAGAAATCAAATTCAAGATATGTCAAACCCCAGAAGAAAGTTGAACTCAAAGGGGAGAAAGTTTCACTTCTGACCTTTCCTATTGGATATTATTAAAATGTTTTGGTTCCAAATAAAATCTTATTCGATGAAGAATTTATGAAAGTGGCTATATCAACAATTTTATGTAAGAATTATATGACAGATTAATTTGGAATGATGCAGTTTAAAGATATTTACACTCCCTCACATGCATCTTTTCTGAGGTGCTATTTGTCCTGACTTTGTTTTTATGGATGACAATGCACAGCCACACAAGACTCATAATGTTGAGGATCTCCTGGAAAATGAAGAAATTCACAAAATGGATTGGCCAGTGTACTCCCATGATTTAAGTCCCATTGAACAGGTGTGGAAGAAAGATGCCTGGTGGCATGATCTTACCCTCTGGAGAACATCAGACAACTGAAATAGATGCTTCATGAAGAATGCGAACTCTTATCCCTGTTAAGTATCGACAGATATTCATTCTATACCATATGCATCTTATTCATTTTTTTTGGTACTAAAACTTTCTCCTCCTTTAAGTACTAAATCATGCCTCTGTAGTGTGAATTTTACGTCTTCCAGTTTACTTTTCGTGGAATTACGGCCAAAATAAAAAAAAAATTGCTGAAGTTTCACACACTAATGTATGATAAATAGTATACCTCTTTCTCTTTTAAGAATAACTGTAAATTTGGAACATATAACTACAAGAACTTAGCTGCTGCTAACAAATAAATACATTCAATGAAATACATCAATTGAGGCAAACGATAGTTTTATTTTCTTTAGGATAATTGCAGACAAATTTTCCTATTTAAGGTAAAACAAAAAATGATTTATATCACTTGAATAATAAATCTCTTATTTAGGGCATGCAAACACTAATTAATATTTTCTGGGAGTGAACAATACTTTCTATATTTGCAGAGGTAACTACAGTCGCTCACATTTGTTTTTAGACACTTGTATTTTTGATAATTATTTGCATAGATCTTGTATTAAATATTGAAACATAGACTTTAAAATTTTTTCTCATATATTATTTTTTCTCTATTTTAAGCCTTGCTTGTTGTAGAATAAATACCATCAAAATATTTCTTGCAGTAAAATAATTTATTGAAAAGGTGTTAATCAGTAACTCACATCATAATTTGGACACTCCAAATTTTTGTTAAGATATTTTGGTAGAAAATGTTTTTTGCTCAATTTTTTTGTTTTAAATGAAAATACATCATAGGAATTATCATCTGCATTTGGAAATGATTACTTGTTTAGCAAACTATATTAATATTTCCACACGTGAAGAGAGTTTACTGCGAGACGCTGCAAATTAATGACCAATTCTGTTAGAAATTTAAAATTCATCATTTTAAAGATGGTGAAAGTATTCAAAATATCCAAAAAATCTTTCACGTAAAGCATTTAACTATCTTTGATGCTGTGAAATGATGAAAATTGTGTGGAACCTTTGAAAACACAATGAAGTCTTGCAGATTCATTCTATGAAGAATCAAACAAAAGCCAAAAATTAGTACTGCAAAATGTTTAGCAGATTTAGAAGAACATTTTTTCACATATGTTTACTCTTAAATTTTTAGAAGAGTCGTTTAAGGGATATGGTTACAGTGGATGATCAGCAAGAAGAAAATTCTTTGTCAACAAGAAAACTAGGAAAATAGGCTGGCTTTCATAAAAATCTATAGTAAGCAAAGTTTTATGATATTGGAACAATCTTATATTTGCAGAAAATTCAAATTTTAATATATTTGGGCCAGATAGATGAATAAATACAGGGCAAATGCAAAATTAGGAATTGAATTCAAGAAACCTATTGTCTTTTTTTAAGCACAGAAGAAGAGGCATTATGATTTGGGGATTATTTTGCAATCTTTGAAATATGAAAATTTAGTGTTTATTAAAAATAATAGTGATTAATAAATATTCTTGATG